CATAAATGTGATTGTATTGGCTTGAGAAGAAACTCACCAAAACATATGTTCATCTACAATTTGCATAATGACTACAATCAGGGACTTATGTTGAAATTTGGTTATAATATTATTATTATCAAAAATTGGGATTATCAGCTGATTCATAAAAACTAATAACATAAATGTGAGTGGAACCAATTTGGACTAACAAGTCTGAATGTCAACTGCCAAAGCACATGATGAATCCTTACGTAATTCATAGTTGTCATCTGCAATGATCAGATGATTTAAGCGATTCCAAAGCGTAGTTAGATGCACACTACTATTCCGGATGAGAATCATTTATCTTTGAGGGATAAATGTATAAAATACAAAAGATGGTACATTTAGATCAATTTTAAGGTTACCCTATTTGGGAAGGTTTTGGAGTAGTTATCTTAGATGACAATGAAGATATCATGTTGAAAGTATTTATTGTTCCGCGAGCAGATGTAGAACAAATCTAACTTCTTCTTGCAATAAAATATCTTGGGGCATTTGCGACCTTCCCTCACCCCTAAACAGCGTACAAACTGAATACTTTTTAAATCATATTGATTCATATATATGCTGAGAAAATCAGGGGAAAATTGTCCTCTCGCTTTAGCTGTATTGGTGAAAATCGATTGTCAGCTGCATGTTTACCAGTAACAACTTTTGTGAATATAAGCTGATCGAATAAAACGAAGGGTATTTTAGTTGTTTCCTCTTGTTCTACAGACACAAACAAGGCATTTGGATTAGACACATTCCATTTGTATTTAGGTTCTGTCCCTTGCTAATAATGCTGTCTTAAATTGAATATGCTGAGACTGATGAGAAAACAAAATGATCTCACCCCAAGTGGATTTCTGTGATCGATAATTGATTTTCGTCCTTCAGGCTCTTGAAACTCGACTGTACACACACACTTAATTAAAAATAAAACAAAATTGAAAAACAAACAAATTGAGCATTCAAAGGGCACTTCAAAAGTTCTCGAACTTATCGATTAGTGGAAAACAACTTATAGAGTAGGTTCACCTCGATAAAATGAATTTAAATATACACACATATTTGTTCATATATTAAATTAGTTATTCACAAAACCTGAAATAGTTATACCGAAGGAAAATAAACCAATGCGGTCTGAGATATGAGCTTTTGGTTGTGCGTGTGTTTGCAACTCAGCTGCGTTTTACGACAAAAAAACAAACTAATATGAATCACTGGAGGTGCAATAGGGCTTTGCCAGATTGGTGAATTGAAACCGTCTATCCGCCAAATAAACTTTAATTTGGTCGTTCCATTTCACTTACTCAACATCCACCCGAGTAATCAGTCAGGGTGGATCATGATGGTAATTAATTCTCACAAAGAGGATCACAAGCGAATCTTACATTCAAGGGCATTTGAATATACTCTCTCCTTCAACGATCCCTTATGAAGTTTTACCTTATCATTCTCTGTATTTGGGTTCTAATGCACTCTATCATTCATGAACGTCCGATACAATTATACTTATCATATCTTGTTCTATCCTATGCATTTATGCACTTTTTGGATTGGGATAAAATTACGAATACAAACTCAGGTAGTACGAAAACAGCGATCAAATTGTCTGTAGCGAACGGAAGACCCCTGAAACGAGATTTCTGTCCGGAGGGTGCATAATCTAACGAATAAGAAGATCGGTCCCTAGTGGGTGAAAATATTTTCTCAATGGTTGGATTTGAGAATACTTTAAGTCAATTTCTCCTCATACAAACCGAACAATTAATTACATTTCTGCCTTACAAATCATCCATTAAAATCTGCGAGTTGGGCTCCGATACACGGAGCGCTGCAGCAAATAAGCTTCCCGGGAGCACACCAAAGATGCTGTCTAGCATTAGACGACCACTGACTAATAAACGTCAGCACAATTGAAGTATAAAAGATAAGCGCAGTAAAGTGGAATCTGACTGGTCGATCGTACGGTTATTCACAATCTATCATGTATGACCGGTTTCTGAATTCACAGAAAAATTCCGTTAACCCCCTGCGCTCTCTAAGTCCCTCACGCACGATGTTCGCTGGAGGTTGTTTTAAATGGAGTGGCTCAATTTTACTGTATGAATCATGCCAGTGAAGTTCCTAAGTAACAAGCCTACAAAGAATCTCCATCTATCCCTGTGTTCAAGGTCACGTCTTAACTTCAAGAAGCATTAGTAGAGTTCGCATCATTGAAGACCTACTGAGTAATTTATAGTCCCGGTTGACGAGCTACGGCTGCTAGCTCAAAGTCGGTAAACCTGGGTTGCAAAACCCTGAAGAAGAGTAGAACTTGACCCAAAAAGTGGCCCAGAACCTGATAGTCACTCACTCGTTTGGACGGTAGGGTGTTCTGGGTGCTCTCAATCTGCACGCCACTCCCTAAGTGATCATGAACCGTCTGAATGGAAACCGGTTCCCAAGAGACCGCACCGCTTTTTGCGCATTGTACTTTTGCTATCCGAAGGTTCCGCTTTTCAATCAACAAGAGAATAAATGCATCTCTGCTTCGATCAGAGCCGCCCAGCAACGGTTCGCTCACGAGCAAACTGTCAACCTCTTTCGCCATATAAACAGAATGTGCGATAATTTGTAAAAATGTATAAGATATGTATGATATATATATATGTGCGCGTTGTTTCTGTGCTAATGCTGCTCATCGTTTGAGTAACCATTATGGAAAGATGATTGGTCACTTAGACAAACCCCTTCCTTCCCAAATTCCTTGTCGTTTTTCGCCAGATGCTCTCAGCGTTGTAAACAACTTTTAGACTAATAGGCTTGGCATCTTTAATCGGAAAGGTACACATACTGTTCATAAACTTTTATGCTGCACTTTGAAATGTTTTGAAATGTTCTGTCTCATTTTCACCACGCAATCTGCGGATTATCGTTTGGTAAATAGATAATCCTTCGCAATCAATAACAAGATTTTATATTCCAATGTGGAAACTAAAACAGAAGCTCATCCAAACAAAACAACAAAGTAAAGTGACTTTTGGTTGGTTCTATAAATTGACTAGCAGTATCTGATGCTTATTTGTTGATACTGAGGTTACGAACATCCAATTTCAACGTGCGATGTTAAAAATGGAAATGAGACCCCCTTAGGATCTTGCACGATGCCTCCTTCTTCTGATCTATTCCCCTATTCTACAGAGCTCTTAATGACAGGAAAACGTTATTGACCAAGGCTGTTTGAAAATAAAGTTCCTCACGTTATCTCTTAGTGATAGCCGAGTTTTGTGCATCATATAATCCGTTTATTTAGTGTTAAAATAGCATGAACCCTAATTTCTAACATGGATTGGCCTCATACGCGATATTCTATTGATTCGGTCAATAAGTTCAATGGTTCAAACTCTCAGCGGATATTTTTAATAGAGTGACTGCAACAATCATGAAGCACTGGATTGAAAAATTGAAGCATTCCAGTGTGTTCGATTAGCTTATCGGAAATGTCTAACAAATAACCTGTCTTCTACTCGATAGAGTGATACGAGGGTTTTGCGCTTAACTCAGTATTCTTCACCAAAATACTGACAGGTTATTGCCTTTCCGACATTTTGACCGTTCTTACTTAATTGGATTATGAGAGGACAGTGTAAATGGACATGAAACAACCGGTAGAAGGACACCGGTATCATCGCTATGGACAATTTGAAAACGGTTTAGGCAATTTGTACAACCTCACTTAAATACTCACGCAGATAGTCCTCACTGGAAATTTGACGTCTTTCTTGTTCTCGGCTGTCAGTTGTTGTGCTCACGGATTCAGTCGGTGACGGGTCGTATGAATGAGGTCCTAAAGCAGTTGTTTGTGAGGAATATTGTGATGGCATTGATTGTGGCTGCCCTACTGTAGCCTGCATGCTGTGGAAAGCGGATTTTTGTATGGTATCGGTTATCTTTGAACGAGTTGAATATTCTGTTGCGACTGCGGCGGACGAGTGTTTCATGGCTGTTCCAATCGACCTATCACTTGTGCGACCGGAACGTGATCGAGATCTGGTCGGATAACTAGACCCGCCACGAACTACGAACGCTCGGGAATCGGTAACTGGTTGGTGTGAGCTAGAAATTGATTGAGCAGAACTCTTTCCGGGTACTTCCGTGCGAGTACCGGTAGACTTCAGCACACTTCGCTGTCCCGGTTCCGTGTCTTTATAACGTCGACTAGGCTGAACTAACCCCGTTGAAGCCGTTCCTCCTGTATGTTGTGTATGCTCTGCCGAACTGGGATCCATGATGGACGGTTCCACTCCACTCTGATGTGGCGGCTTCATTGATCTGGTACAAGGATGTACCAGACATTAAAGGAATGATTAGCAATCACACGTGGATGAGTAGCACTTGGTTGATTGTGAACAATATAGAACTCCAGTGAATGTGAAAACAAGCAATAAAGATCCACGCCAGTGAAAATTCACACTCATACTCCTGTGCACAGGAATACACATGCAGATGTATGTGTATCAAACTTCCAAATTCCCAATCACGAAGATGAATTCGTCAACCCAATTGTAAACTCAAATCGAATAGTCAATTTTCCAGTGGTGCTCGAGTTTGGTCAATGAACAGCTTCAAACCGGCATGGTCAAGCCGTTTCTACCGTGAATGCTGCAAGTGTTTAGGGATGGCCACAACCACGTTGTTGTGATCGTTTGCGTACGGACAAACGTGCTTGTGTGTGTCTGTATTCGATTGAGTGTGAACGCCTTCCCACCATGTATGCATACACAGACACGCTTAGATGTTTGCCTCCGTGCATGTGTGCATGTGTGTGTTTGACAGAGAATCGAATAACGTAAGAGGGGAAAAGTTAACGGTCACCCGCCACAAATCCGGTTGGTAGCGCACGTCCGTACACGCACGGCTGTGAACCATCGTGTGCACACGCGAACGAGGACGCGGGTATGAACCTCCACGGTGGGACATATCAGCCCTAGTTGATGGGCAGACAGACGGACCAAAAGGGACAGGGACAGGTCGCTGTTGACGGGTTTTCGCCACTTTCAGGTCGTCGTCATCGTTACTTCTAGTAGTGGTTGGTCGACCCTACAATAGCGACGGTTTGACAATTCAACTTTTTCTGGATTACCAAATAGGCAGAAATTCGATCACACAGATCTGTTGATTCTCAATGCTGGAATGAAAACATAAGTGCGCGAAATTGTCACAATACCATGAAACAAATTGTGGTTTTCGAAAGCGTTGTTCACTATGCGAGTAGATAAAGTTGTTCTCCAGCATTAAATTCATGCATGCCAGCGACTGCACCCGATCAAACCATCCGATTAGGACTCAAACCAATGATTTACCGAAATTCTTGCATATTCGAACAAATGAGTCTAGATAGGTATATATCTATACACATACATATGTATATGTACATCGACCATGCATGTGTCCACGCATGTCTGGCCCATTTCAAAGAGGTGGCTCTACATATCCACACACACACACACACACGCAAACACATGTACACGGAGAGACATTAGCTGTGCCACATACACAGTCAGTGTTTTTGTTGCAACATGGCGAATCTTTGGCTGATCCACTTTGGTCAGTGAACAAACCATGGAGTTGCACTTCTTTCATCCTAATTACTAAACTACTGAACGGGTGAGAATGAGGAAAACATTCACCACAACTGCCAAATCCGCCTCAGTACAGCACTCAGTCCATCATGAAAACTATGTGTACTGTGTACTGTAAGTCTATGATAACCCCTGTGTTGGACTTAGTTTGAATAAATATTATTATGGAGTGAGCTGGGAACGGCGTAGCGATGCGAAGAACAATTAAAGAAACGCAAACTGCAATCCTGCCCCCCTCGGCAGGATTATTACATAAATTATAACTGATTTGAGACCGCTAAGGATTCCAGTACATACCAAGCAGAACGCGTTTTGATTTGGGAATTAGTTCGTGCATTCGTGGACAGTCTAATACCGTGTGCAATACGACAGAATCTGAGCGAAAAGATTGCTACTTCTTCACCCTTTTTGAGTAAAATAAGAACTAACTGAGAACAATTGATTTAGCCCATCAATTTTAGGTTAACTCATTGGGCTGTTCAAGGAAACATATACGTATACAGCAAACGGAAAATCAACGTGTTTTGCGGTTGAATATAGGGCAGTAAAAGAGCGATTGCTGTTCACATAGTGACGAGATCGATAAACCTTCACCCATAGTGCAAAAATCATTCTTTTTGGTTTTTCCGCACAGCGTTTCAAACTACATTGTGCTTTTCTCCCTTTAACTCAGGCTCAAAATTGCTAGAGCGATTATGCTCTTCAAATCGATTATGTATGTCTCTTGATGCTGTTACCTAAACAAGGAGTAGAGGGAG